CCTCCTGCGGAAGCGGCGCCGGTAGAAGCTCCCGCTGAAGCGGCAGTGGCGGAAAGCGCTCCCGCTGCGGAGGTACCTGCTCCTGAAGGTTGGCTACTCTACGCATCCAAACGCTGCTCTTTTTTATAACAACATCTCATTTAAAAGAACAGTTCGTCGCACTTTGTTATAAACTGTAAAATTGCTACTCACCTTAACGGTCAAATGAATGATATTGTTCACGGACGCCTAACAGATGTAACGTTTTTTTAATGGAAGAAAGCATCAGTTCTGTAGAAGACTCACACACGCCCTCTAATGAACAACACGCGCTACTTCCACTCACTTCACTAGGAATCTGACGACGTTTTTAGCTCAAATTTACCATAGTAATCTGCCAAAACTTCAAAGTTACTACACTCACTGCGGCTAGCAGTGTTATTTTAGTGTGTTATTTACTAATACCGTTTATTGAGATAATATTAAAGTTTTTATTAATATTTAATTAAACAAGGTTTAATAATCGTTTTAATTTTTATATTGTGTGTGTGTGTGTGTGTGTGTGTGTGTGTGTGTTGCATCAAAATGACACTTGGAAAATGTTTTTGTTTTTCAGTTAATGGTTATTTTATTTCAGGTAACAATTTTTTTTTATGGTTTTAGTTTCAGTTTTACTATTTAGCTGCTGTAAAATGATAATGAATTTATCAAATGTTATAAAATAAATGCTGATTTTTTTTTTTTTTTTTTTTTTTGTTAGGCAATTTATTTATTTACTGACAGTGACTAATAGTATATCAAAATAATAAAGTTTTATTATAGTAGCAAATACTGTATTATCATTTTTGGCAGAGACTGTTACAATGATAAAATTATGTCATTTTGTGCAACTATTTTATTGATTTTGGAAAACTGAATTTTCTGAACACCCACAAAATGCTAGAATATACACTCTAAAAAATGCTGGGTTATTTCAACCCAACATTGGGTCAAATATGGACTAACCCGGCTGTTGGGTTACGTGTTTAAATTAAAGTTTTAACCCAAAAGTCGGGTTAGTCCACATTTGACCCAACGTTGGGTTGAAATAACCCAGCATTTTTTAGAGTGTAACTACTCGTAAAAAGATAACTTAGGTGTTGGCATTGCAATAATTAATTTAGCAAAATAGAAACTTAAAATTGCAATGTTCATTAAGGTGCTGTAAAAAGAGAAAATGTCCTCTCGAATCTCTTGAGCTACAGGAAGGCTGAACTGTCACAAATCTAAATCTAATAATTATTATATACATGCATTAGTGTAGAAGTTTCCCTAATATGCGTCTAACCCCAGAGTTTCCTCAGAAGCAGATTAATTAAATAGAAAGCACTTGATGATCCTTGAGCCTTGTCTTACAGCAGCATTGTAATTTATACCTATCCTCAGTGGTGTAGTGGAGGGTATACGCAGGTATACTGTTTTTTATTTTTTTTAGTTATATTATTTTTAATAATATTTTATATTTATGCCTTCTCAATGAACCGAAGTGATCATTACCGATTTTGTCACTGATAATAAAATCGATAATAAATCATAAATCGGTTAGTCTTGACTATCAGCACTGCGCTACACGAATCGGCTCACGTGTGTTCCGCGCTTCCGTCAAACGATTCCGAACAGAACCGATGCGCGGGACTCGATGAAAGAGAGAAAGCGGCCAGAAGCAGCAGTGAAACGTAGCTACATCACTGACCTGTTCAGGGCTTCAAGTGCAGGTCAGTTCCATCTGTAAATACGCTACATAGTTTTGTCTTTATTAACGTAGTTGAGTAATAAACTGCTAGTATCTCTTAGGCTATCAGTAGCACCCCATTATTATCATCTATCAGAATACTGTGCTAAAGGACATCAATATCGATTGTAAAGTTACATTAAAAACATTTAGCAGAGACAGATATTCACATGGATTTATTGTACAGGGAGGGAGGGAGCTAGAGCAGACAGCAACACAAAAATATTATGAGTCACAGCCTAATAACTCAATAGTGTATTAGGATTTTTCAACAAATATATTGTACTAATTTTGACATTTAGGCACTTTAGAAATTGTGTTTTAATACACTACCAGTCAAAAGGTTTTGTTCAGTATGATTTTTAATGTTTTTTTAAAGAAGTCTCTTCTGCTCACCAAGCCTTCATTTATTTGATCCAAAATACAGCAAAAACAGTAATATTGTGAAATATTTTT